TATATCATGTATTATTAGAAGAACTTTTGCAAAGCGGCAAAATATTTTTTATGGCAAAACAGCGTTTGCCGGGTCAGCTAGTATATATATATATATATATATATATATATATCTTCTTATATATAAAAATGGATCGCAAAATGTGTTGGTAAGCGCATAACTCAACAACGCCTGGACCAATTTGGCCAATTCTTTTTTTAAAATGTTCGTTGATGTCCAAGAACGGTTCTTACGGCGAGAAAAAATCGAATAATTGTCGGGAAAACCCTAAAAACAGCCATTTTCTTTTTCATACAAACGTTCTCTAACTAAAACGGAGAATTTGAGCTTTCTTGCTATTATATAAAGTTCATATTAAATTACAAGCCCAAATCACTGTATACACCTTCTAAACGATTATGCGGATTTTGATAAATTTTTCTGAAGTTTGTTAAGGAAATTTTCTAGGATGCATGTGATTATAAAGTACTTGGATGCATGTGAAATATTGTAGAAATAAATGGAACAAAATGTAAAAAACGACGTGTAATTGTTTTCATTTAAAACGAATGAAAACTATCATCTGCCACAAATTTCAATTTACATATGAACCTAGACAATATTAAAATATGTATAATAAATTTATGATTATGAATAAGAAAACTGAAATGTCTACATTATTATTGTCAAAAAGAAGCTGAGATGTGCCAGAAATTAAAATAATATAAAATACAGTATGTGTATGGCAGATTGAATGATACACATATGAACAGGATATGACAAATTAATTCACTTAAAATATGAAATTAAGTAATAATCAAGGCCGGACCTACTTTTAATGCGATGCATGCGAAAAATACGAGCGCACGCCTTAGGGGGCGTCAACACAAGATTCGGATATTAAATTTTCAATATAGTTTTTTTTTATATAATTTTTTTGCATTTTTTACTAATCTTTTCACAATATTTTTAAAATTCGAAAAAATTTCACTTTATAACAACAAATGGGAAAGTAAATATGAATACATACAAATTGGCCCTCACGATATCGATTAGGAGAAGTTTAAGATGCAATTTTGGATATTTTAAATAATAAAAAATTAAATTAATTTAATCCAACATAAAGTACCAGTGTTATGTTATGGTTATGTTATACCGTCTAAAAGACTTTAATTTCCAATATAGTGTGGCAATTGAGACTCATCATTTTATTTAAAGCAGTTCTACATTTAACATCGCACATATTATAAATGATATGATAAATGATTTTGACGTAAAGAGTAAATTAAAAACAATAATTATTATTTTTAGGTAAACGGTAAATATTAGTTTACTATATTAAAAAATTGTAGACATGGGTACAGGACAACGTCTGTCGAGTCATCTAGTAATAGATAGTAATCATAGATAATGTTAATCCTTATAATAATACTGATACTAAAAATATATTTTTCTCTCGGAGTTTCACCACTGTCCGTTACCAGGATTAATGTAAGGACATTAGTCAGGATTCCAATTAAAGACTACACCTCGTGCATGTATATATATATATATATATATATATATATATATATATATATTTGTATCTATATTCACCTGTCGTCCTTTTCTGTTCGCATTTATCAACGTCCTTTTTGTTGTCCTGACAGAGAAGTGCCTTCGAATGCTGTTGCACCATAGAATCGATACTGGAAGAGCGCGGCAGTCGTGTGTTGGCGGAATCGCGTCTGGAAAAAGAAAAATTGAAATTGTTAATGTTTTTGTTCCGGAAAATATTTTTGTAGTTATGTGGAAATGTTGGGAATTTAATCTAGTTTGTAATGGTGTATCGTAGTCGGTGAGTGTTGGTTAAAGTTTTGAAGATATTTAGAAAAATTTGAAGAAAGCGCATGGAAACTACTGGTTGTAACAATTGGTGTACAAAATTTATTTTACAGGTTTTTTTTGTTAGAATACAAAATATTTAATGTAATAATGTATGTTTAGGCAAAATATGAAATATATATTTAATAATTTAATCAATATAGCTTTTTATTAACTTTTTACTAGTGTTTCCAAGCGCGTGTTTTTAACCCGGAACGAGCTGCCGTTTTAGGTTAGCCGACAGTTCATCCGCACCGGAAATTTAATTCGCAAAGTTTTAGGATTTTTTTTGTAGAATATTATAATTAATACTTTTAATAAAAAGTTTTGGAGTACGTAAAATTAGGAAAAATGCACTAAACTTAAAATAGCAATTTCGAAAAATATTGGACGAGTTGAATATACATTTTATAAACTTGAACAAACTATAATAATGAGCATTTTGGTACAAGAGCAAAATAACACACATACTTTGTTTCAGAATTTAATGTTTTTGCAAACAATTTAGAGAATATAATGAACTTATAAGAAATAATATTATTATAATAATATTTTTGAACGATGTTTCATAATTTCATAATTAATAATAGCATGTGAAAAATGAAACAAAGGACTAAAACGCTTCCTAAAAAAACTTGGTTAAGTTTATAAGTTATATCAATTATTATAATTACAAATTATAAATCAATATTAATAAATATGAAAAATAAAAAAAAAGAATTTTAATTGAGCTTATAATAAAATATTACAGCAAATATATTTAATTTGTTCTTTTACTAAAATCTTATAAAATTACACCTCAAAATTTGTCGAATTTAAAAATAAATAATAATTTAAAAATAATCAAGAAAAAAATCAATTTAAGCTGTTTTATTTTTTAGTTTAAGTTATCACTTAAACAATTGTGCATTTTCAATGATAAAAAGTTTTTGAAAAATTAAGAAAAATGAAATATATATTGATTTTATTTGCATCCACATAGTAGAAATAAAAATAAATGAATAAATAATAGGTCATTTTTAGGTTTTACTCAATTTTTTTTACTAGTACCTATAAAGTATTTTACCATTTTACAATCCTGATTAAATGCACCAACTTTTGATGAAACTTGCCAATAGACTTTAGTGCATTTTTTTCAAAGGAAGGCCTCTCAAAGTCAATTAAAAATTTAAATTCATAGTTCAACAAAAAGTATTAATTGTTGAAAACTTGGCGCAATTTTGTGATTATTTTTGACTGTGGTTCTAGAAATTAGCCACAAAAGCCGAAAACAATATGAATTAATTTTTTGAGGACAGTTACAGTCAATACTATGTTTCGGCTTGATTTTGAGTTCTGGGACACCCTGGGATACAGAATATACTTGTGATTTAAATTTTTCTACTGATACTAATTTCGGCTGATGTTGAGTTCTGGGACTCTGTATATAAAATAATCATGTTCTGTAATCAACTTGTGATTTTAATTTTTCTACTAATGCTAATTTCGCCTTGACGTTGCGTTCTGGGACACCCTGGAACATGGAATTATTAACTTCCCGTAGGGTAAGTTATAGTAATCGCAAAAAAATCGAAAATGAAAATTTTTGCATTTCTCGACGTTTCAAAACCTTCTGAACATTTTGGCATACCTTAGAAAAAATGGATGTATGTGTGTGTGTGTGTGTGTGTGTGTGTGTATGTATGTATGTATGTATGTATGTATGTATGTATGTGTGTGTATGTATGTGCGGATACAAATTTTCGTCGACGATTTCGGGAACACGGATCAACCGATTTGAATAATTCAAAAAACATTCGATTCGTATTGATAAGGAGACGTGCTGATTAGTTTTTGGCAAAGGCAGGTCTAGCCGTTCCGAAGATACGGGGCAAAAAGTGCCACGAACGGTACCTCCGTTTTTAAGAGAACGGAGCGTCCGATTTGAATAATTCAAAAACATTTTACTTGTATTGACAAGATGTAGAATTGATCAAATTTTCATGGAGGTAGGTCTAGCGGTTTCGGAGATCTAATGAAAAAAGTAAAAAATAATGCCATTCGGCGGTTAAAAATTATCATTAGACATATGCACATCAAATTATCAGATATTTTATAGAGATTTTAACAATAAGTATATTGTTTTTTTTTACATTTTTATGGGTTCCGTACCAATGCTTATGCGTTGGACGGCGGCGCGGCACATGCGCGCTTTGATATTTCGTCTCTATGCAGTTCAAGCAGTGCGATTGCTTTGAAAAAAAGTTCAGAATTTCCAAAATATGTCAAAATGAAAAAAACATTTTTTTCAAAAAAAATTTTGTATCCAAAAAAAATTTTTTTTTTTCATATAAATTTTTTTTTTCAAAAAAAAGTAATTTTTTGTCAAATTTGTAGTTTCTCAAATCTATTTTTTTTTTGATTAAATTTTTTTCAAACATGTTAATCGTTTTTAAAAAAATAATAATTTTTGGTACGGGAAGTTCCAGCAATTTGCCTTAAGGCACGATGCCCTAATTGCCTTAAGACAGAATTCCACTTACAGCTAGTTAAATATATACTTGTGACGTAAATTTTTCTACTAATACTACGTTTCGGCTTGACATTGAGTTCTGGGACACCCTGGGACATAGAATAATTAAATAAAATATAAACTTGTGATTTAAATTTTTCTGCTGATTCTAATTTCGGGTGACGTTGAGTTCTGGGACATCCTGGGACAAAGAATAATTAAATATGTACTTGTGACCTAAATTTTACTACTAATATTAATTTCGGCTTGACGTTGAGTTCTGGGACACCCTGGGACATGGAATAATTAAATAAAATATAAACTTGTAATTTAAATTTTTCTACTAATACTAATTTTGGCTGATGTTGAGTTCTGGGACTCTCTATATAAAATAATCATAAATATGTACTTGTGATTTTAATTTTTCTACTAATACTAATTTCGGCTTGACGTTGAGTTCTGGGATACCCTGGGACATGGAATAATTAAATAAAATTTAAACTTGTGATTTAAATTTTTCTCTGGGACACTCTGTATTGCGGCGTTGAGTTCTGGAACACCCTGGGACATGGAATAATTAAATATGCACTTAAATAAATTTTTCTACAGTCTCCATTACCCAATTTGTTAAATCTATTATGATTATTATCGAGGACACGACATTAAAATGCCAGGTGTACTTTTGGGGCAACATCAAAGACGTGACACGAAGACGTGCTGTCCTACATATACATACATTCAAAATTTCTTCTTATGTTCGAACGAAATCTTTCTTGAAAGAAAGAAGGCCCCCCGATGAAACCGCAAAGGGGAATACTTGTATGTGAAATGGAAAAATTCTTATTCTTTGTGATATCGGGCGGAATTAACATGTCGGAAGAGATCTTGAAATAGAGGAGAATTTATTGAAAGAGACACTGCTTACTTGTATTTTTAGGTTATTCATCTGTATGGAACTAGAAGTATGAAATTTTGCACTTGAATTAAGTCTAATATTTACACATTTCGGAAAGCTCATGCAACTTGCGTTAAAACAATTAGATACTAGACTAATACTATTCCACAAAACTTATACATTTGTGCCTTGTAAATATTAGCAT